TGCTGAGCATGAATACTACTACTACTACTGTCCTTGTAGCATATTTGCTAAGTTTGGGCAGACCTCTGTGTACTTGCAAGCACCGAAAGTATAACGATAGGCTTCCCCAATATGAATTCATAGCAAAACTTGTATGTTCCAAACTGAAAAGTCATTTCTTGAGTTTCATGACTTAATGCAGTTGCTCAGTTGTCATGGAAAGCAAGTTAATGGTCGTGCAGTTGTGGCAATTTTCTGGGATTTACATCTTGGTCTCTGCTGTTTCAGTTTTGACCATTTGTTTTTTAATCTGTCTCTTGCGAGTTCTTCAATTTTAAGAAAGTGACAACCTTCTACTATATCTTTAAATAGTGTCATTCACTTGTGAAAGAATCTATATTTACTGCTGTGAACCTGAGTCGTCTCGTGTTTCTTTGGAAAAAAATTTCTGCAAATTAAAATTGATGAGTGAACAAAACAAGGACATTTTAGATGACTTAGGTCTCCCAACAGAAAGTTATTTGGCAGTTTTTCCTTGAATATTTGAGGGGAAAAAAATACAATTTTCTTATTAATAATAACTAGTGATGGTTATATTCAAAAAAGAAAGGAATAAAAGAAGCTAAATTATCATCACAATTACCGTATTAGTGCTACGATTAAGTTTAAATACTGCATTTGAACACTTAGAAATGACTAAGCCTGTGTAGATAAGGGAATTCCTTCAGCCTGAAACTGCGTGATAAAACAAGGCCGGCGCCTTTTTGCCTCTTTGATATTTATTTAATGAGAGATGTAGCGCACATGCACATTTAATATGTACAATTACAGACACATAATACGCTGCATAATAAGCAGAGCGACGCTGGATTTTCTTTCCGACTTATGTTCTTGGAAACTCTTTCATAGCGGTTCTACGGTTCATGAATATTATCGAGGAGCTGCGGCTGTGACCTTTAACATGTTCAATATTGGATTTTTAAATGCTGATGATGTAGAACCTGAACGGAAAGCAGGTGCGTTACTGTTGCGCTTGTTGTATTTTGATCTGGATCCCACCTCTACTTATTTTTCCATTTTCACAGCCTCTTACACACACATATGTGCACGCTCGCTGCTTTTCAAACACACCTCCGGAGGTTGCCTGAGGGAAAGCTCTTTTATGCTCTGAGCCATCAATTGACCAATCAAGGCTTGCCAAAGTAAAGCGACTGTAGCCGCTGCAGGGACAGAGGAGGGAATAAACAAGAGCTGCTTTCAAAAACACCACTTTTTCTATGAAGCTACGTGAACAATTCACCCACTTGTCAAATCACTTTGTGGTCTAGTAAGAGGTGGAAGTCAGCCAGAACACAACCACATCCCATATAGCGATGTGGTGATTACACTGAAGGCCCACAAGGTAGGCAGGAAAAATGTATGTTTTCAGAAATCCTGATGTATCCAGGTGGTTTCTATTATGTCTCTGATGACCCATCACCGTGACAGATGTGACAGCGGAAGTCCCTCGCATGGCCGACCCTTTAATCAGGGACTTACATTTGGAACCTGGAAGACTCAAAAACGACATGATGAAACAAGCGAGGAGGCATAGATTCATTTATGCCTTCCATCAATCTGGGCGCCGCTCATAAATGTCAGCCATAGGGAAATTGAATGGCACCATTTGTCTGTGTTTATTAGTCTGGGATGAACTCAGTCTCGTCGACCTTTCAGAGTACATACCCACGCCAAGTTAATTGAGGATAAGTCAAACTTGGAGTTCCAATGGCTGGCAGAGCCTGAGCGAGAGGATCCCTACGGACTCATCGCCTCGGCTAAAAAAAAAAGTGAAGACAGGGAAGTTCATCACAAGAAAGGCCGGAGTCCATTGGGAGAATGTCAACTTTTTTTTTTATTACTTAAACGCCCTGCCTCAAATGCCAAAGTACTAGAATCCCACGAGTCATTACTGAATTGTGGTGCCTCGTCCTCGACTGTGACTTTGGGCTGTTTGCTTGAGCACATCAAGATGCTCAAACCAGAATCTGAGCTCAAACTGAAATTACAAATAATGATCACCAAAGATTCAGCATCAAACAGACTCCTGCACACTGTGTAAAAATGTGAATGCATTTATTTGTGATATGTATCAGGTTAAGCGTTTGTTAAGAAGAGAAACCATTCTACTGAATGATGATTTTTATTTACATACAGAGCCTTTTTTTGGGAACATTTAATCCTTGGAGGTTGAGAGCATCCACATTATAACATTTTACCATAAAATGTTTATAAAAAATTGTAATTCAGTAGAATGATATGTTGTTATGCCTTCCTGTACTATGTGGGCAATGCTTTTTGGTTGCAGAGTTACAGCTGCTCCCTACTCAATATAGTTTTTCTTTGCAATAAAATATCTGCCAGATGAAGATCCAGACATTGCAAATAAATGTATTTTTGCAAGTTAGCTCATGTCTAGTTAGGTTCAAGGTCTTTATTTATCACAAACACAGTCATACATGGTATAACGTGCAGTGAAATGTTTTGATAGATTAGATTTGTTAGTTAGATCAGGAGTCTGTTTGCAACTTTTAGATTTGCTCAGCCCTCTCCTACGCACCTGTCTCTTTAAATAAATGTGCAAAGAAGAGTTTCTTTGTTAAAGAATCAGTTGAAATATTCTAATTGCATTGATTTATGACCTTGTTTGACTCAAAATTGTAATTATTTTTGCAATAAATGCTCTTAGATTGGTGTTCCCCAGGTGATGTGAAAGTTTTGGTTACCTGTGTTAGTGAGCACGAAAAATTAGCTCCTCCAATCACATCAAAGATAGCTGAATTGCTAAAGCTGTTAGCTGCTGTGTAGTCTTCAATTATATTTTAGTGTAGCTTAGCTTACACGCTAACATGCAGAGTAAAAATGCAGTGAGTTTTGACAGTATGGGTACAAAAAAGAGGTGTTTCTTTCCGTACTTTGTAAAACGGGAAATATTAATATAATATTTAGGAGAGCGTTTTATCGTCCAAAAAGAAAGTTTGAGTAAGAATCTCTGCCAGTGTTAGCAAGCAAGGCTAACTGGTGCTTTTTTAAGCAATAAAAGCTAAGCAGCTTAGCCTGCTAGCTTACAGTTTGTAGGTAATATACAAACAGATGAGCACAATGGGTCCTCACAAGCAATGAATGCTGTCAAGAGTCAGACAATTTATTAAAAATTCATGAAAATTAGCCAACACTCTGTGGGTTCGATACCAAAAATCTGGAGGAAACATGTTTGTATCGGCTCTCAGAAGTTGTCAACTGCAAATGCCCATTTGGAGGCTCAAGTCACAGTTTTAATAATTATCTCAAAGGAATAGTGTCTTTTTTTTTTTGCAAAGTGAACACACACATGCAATAGCTGCAGCACCATGGTCGGCCTTCCATATTTCTGTCAACTTTAAAGCTGCAAGCTTCAAAACTTGACAATAAACACAAACACTCCTTCAGGACTCATTTGCATTCAGATCGTGGCATCTCCCACCTCTCTCATGCAGCAAACGTGAACGTACTGCGCTGAACATCTCTGCCTCTCGACATTAAACGCATTATAAGAAATCCCGGAGCAGCTTTAAAATTCACTCCATTTTCATCAATAACCCGATAAAAAGTTGTTACCTGCGACTGTCACATTATTTACTAGATCAAATCTGGCAAATTTGAGGTGTTTCATTACCACATCATTTTCTCTTTTAGATTTTTTTTATTTCCCCCCAGAGGTGCCTGCAGCCGCTGCCAGAAAAAAACAGCAATGTGTTACACTGACAAAAAGCCTCTGATTGCAAGTGATGTCCCCACCAGACACCACCATTCAAACCCCCCCCCTGGCGTCTGTCAATATCCATCACAAAGACTGCTCTTGTTTACATACTGAAACTGCTCTCACTTGACTGGGCCCTGAGGAAAAATCACTACAATAATAATTCATCCAGCCCTAATTATACTTTATTTTGTTTCACTGACAACATGGACACTTAAATATCCTAACAGGAGCTGAGTCTTTGTCTCTTTGGTGGATGTGGGCTGAGTGTAAATGCTCGTTTTGCCTCTGCTGATATCACTGGTTAATCAAGTGGGACTTATTTCTTGAGATATCTGCACAACATCTGTCTAATATCTACTCATGTGCTTCTGTTTGCTCAGAAACTGGCGGTAAAGGCATACAAAAAAAAAAAAAAAAAAAATCAGGCTGCTGCTTCATTTGAGCCAAATCGCGTTTCAAACCACAAATAAACAAGGCGCTGCAAAATTCATGGATAAAAAGCTCCATCAATAATTCAGTCATTGGCTTCGTGTGACTAAATCAAGCACCGGGCTGGCTGTCTGTCTGAGTGCGCGCTCCTCGTCCCTCCACGCTGGCTCCGTGCGCTCTCAGACGCATCCTTGGGACTTCCTTGTCAATGTTATGGAACAGCGAGCGGTTATAATTCCAAGTGGGGTCAGGGGACCTTCCCGAGGTCACTAATTGAACATTTAATGAGTTCAACCCCCTCGGATGAGACATGTCTTAATTTTACTGCAATTAAAAAGAAATGGGAGTTCATACAAAGGAGCCAGGTGGGCCTCAGAACAAGTTTGAGCGCAGAGTAAACAGACAATAACAAGACGCTCGTGACCCTGGGCCACCATGTGATGTCATGGAAATCTGCTGTAACATGGACATCTCTAGGGGCCCCTCATGTGAAAAGGTTTTTGGTTTTTTTTCTTAAAGTCGAGGTGCTTCAACAAATCCCGGAACCTTTTAACATCCACCGCGCGTCCAGGTGGAGCACCTGGATGCGTAAAAAGCCCACCGTGCCGCCTCCTCTCTGGGAGCCGCGCAGCGAGCGTCTGCAGCAGCAGCAGCAGCCTTCTGCGAGAACAATAACTTGTTTCTGGTGATGTGCGCTGTGGCTGGAGTGATGGATGGTGGTAGGTGACAAAGAGGGGAATGGTGGGGATGGTGCATGAACCAGCGGATCGTGACGGGACGGGACGGGACGAGGAGGGGATAGGCTACTTACGCTGCTGTTTTCTCCTGTCCAGTGGACCATCGCCTGGTTGTGGGTCGCATCCCCTTTGAGCACGAACGAGCTGCTGAGCAGGGACATTTGTTTATCCCAGGACAGCGCTCTCCTGAAGCGGGGTGAGCTCCCCGCGCCTTCCTCATCCACGTCCGTCTGTAAGCCCGGCGGGGAGCCTCCTTCTCCGCCGCCCATGTCAAGCGTACGATCCTCCCCGCCGCGCCGGTTTAAAGCCCCGCTGCTACAGCGCACGGGTCCCGGCAGTGCCATCCAGGCCGAGGTGGTCAACAGAAAGACGCAGAGGTGCGCAGCGGCTGAGACCGGTTCTTCAGGGCGCAGAGGTGCCATGCTTTGCGCCGTAGTAGCGCCCGTATCGCGGAGACTGATGGAGAGACTGCTGATGCTTGTGGGAGATAGATAGGTGTATACTGTAAGCCGAGGGAGAGAGAGAGAGAGAGAGAGAGAGAGGGAGGGATGGAGGGAGGGGAACTGGAGCGAAGGCAGACAGTGGGAACAACGTGGACGCGTCTCCGTGCCAAGAAAGAGCCACAGGACGGCGCAGCGGTGCCATCTGCTGTCCTGTAGCTGCACCGTCCTGCCACTGAACTTCATAAGATATCACCACATGAGGAATTCAGAGGTGCACACTGTGGGCTATTTCTATCATTTTTAAAATCTAATATTCACGGTCCATGCTCAGGAGGCACGAGTTACTCAGCTGCTTTGGCGCGCAATCGTCTGGGGGGGAAATATGATTCTCAAATCCATAATTTTCTCACAACACTGTGTGCATTCGTTGTTGCTTTCAGTCAGAATACAGATGTAGTACAACCATCCACACACGATCCAGGGATGCTGTGGTGCCCCATTCTGCTTTTTAGCCGATATCAGCGCAAGAACTGATAATTCATCTTGAAGGTCTGCTCATCCCCAGATTTTACTGCAGATGATCACGGTCTAGTTATTGTTTGACAGGTGCGGGTCACCCTCTGTTACTTCAGGGTTGTAAAAATGCTGTGAACTGTGGTCGCACTGTGCAAAAGATTTTTATGAAGACAATTCCACAACAGTTCCTAATTGGTGATTAATCCTTTAAAGGTTCATGGTGCTACACTGTTAAATAAATAACACCTTTTTTTTTAAACTTCAATGTACAGATTCACCCTGTTTTGTTAAATTACAGGTAATAACAACTAAAATCCCACAAAATATGTATTTGTATTCAGTCACTCATCAGTACTAATATTGGACTTGTGAATGTTAAAGACCTGTTTTGTACAGCTAACAATACATTTGTGACAGATTGAGGATAAACTTGTCTGGCTAAAAACAGATTTTATATAATAACCCAGCAGTCACATCAATAACTGAGTAAAAAAAGCTTTGATCCAGAATCACATTAAAAATTCCCGGAGAGCTCCCAGTCGTCGTCTATCACAACATTTCAGCGAGCCGGTGCGACCATGACCTCGGAGTCTCAACGTGGTCCTGAGGGGAATGTGCAAATCTGATAGGTCACCAGTCAATCAGCTTAGAGGCAGTCGGCGCTGCTGAATGCTCACTGGGTTTGTTTTTAGTTTTGGCGTTTGAATAAATTCCTGGATTTCTTTTCTTCATTTGATCTTTGCACTCAATTTAAATGATAAAAAAAAAAAAGTTGACCTAAAAGAGTGAAAAAACATGAACCCAAACAGACTTATTTGCATGATGTCGCTCCACTGGTCCGGTGTGTGTTGGTGGCCAGCTGGTCAAGAGGTCGAAGGTCACGTTTGATCCCACTAAAGCATAATAGCTGTCCCCGCTGTGTCCGGCCTACGATCCAATTATAGGTAGAGGCTGGATTAAACCATGACTCGGTGGGTTAGCATTGGTCTCCCAATGGAAACAAGGATTTAACTGTTCCTTACCGCTGATGTTGTTTTCTTTATTCATCACAAACTACAATCCAAAAACAGAGTTCTACATATAACTGACCTGCTTCCATCAGCATCTGGGTTTGCTCAAAGCTGTGGAACATTTTGGATCAGATGTAGTCTGCAGCTACATGCAGCATGATGTGATGTAGGAAACACAGAGTAACGCCTGGAATCAGACCTTAAACACATATGCTCCTAAATGAATTGACTTTTACTGCACCGAGGGGACAAAGTGGACAAATGTTTCAGGACTTCAGACTCTCAGGGGTCCATGAGGTCGCAAGTTTGCCCAGTTGAAACTAAATTATACTGTATGTGATGTACAATGTGATGAAACTGATGAATGGAAACTAAAATGAAAAAAATAGAATTTACAGGTGAAGTCTGAAGAAAGATTAGCAATATTTAGCTAATTAGCATATTAAGCATGTGCCATTTTTTTTGCACCTTGCCCCTGCTTCTTAAATAAAAAATTAGTTGGTGCTCAGAAGGGGCCTTAAGTTCACTATAGAGCAGGGGTGTCGAATCCTGGTCCTCGAGGGCCGCAATCCTGCATGTCTTAGATGTTTCCCTCTTCCAACACACCTGATTCAAATGATCAGGATCGTTATCAGGCTTCTGCAGCGCTTGATGATGAGCTGATCATTTATATCAGGTGTGTTGGAAGAGAGAAACATCTAAGACACGCAGGATTGCGGCCCTCGAGGACCAGGATTAGACACCCCTGCTATAGAGTGTTAATTAAGCCCACTTTGTGCAGTTTGATGATTAAGTCTGAATCAGTTTTGCATAGTCTATCCCCTCCACTGTGTCAGTGCTGCAGAATGGTCTGACTGCACCTCTTCATCATTCAGCTCTAAGGGGTAAAAAACAGTCTGGCTCATTTCTTTAAACCAACACCAGTGTTTCAGTATTTTATATTAGTCAAATAACTGTGTGTGATGTCAAATGTGCTACTTTTAGCATCACACCTACACACAATTATCTCTAACTCTGCCTCCGACTCAGAAGCTCTGGGGATCTTCAGGGAACCTTGTCTGCTTGATGGGTTTCACAAACAGCTTAATTCGAAAAAAATGGTTTCTGAGGGAACCTCTAATAACCCAAACTGGGATCCTGGAGAATTACTTTTGTGTGTACACCTGCATTTACAATTTCAATCCATCCATCAGCTATATACACCGCTTAATCCTCACTAGGGTCACGGGGGTCTGGAGTCTATCCCAGCTGACTCAGGGTGAAGGCAGGGGACACCCTGGACAGGTCACCAGTCTATCACAGGGCTACACTTAGAGACAGACGACCAAGCACACTCACATTCACACCTACGGACAATTTAGAATCACCAATTAACCTCAACATGTTTTTGGACTTGTGGGAAGAACCCGGAGAGAACCCACGCTGCATGAGGAGAACATGCAAACTAACCAACTGCGCCTTCTCAATAATTGAAGATTACAAATACAAGTCAGATTCTACAATGTTTCTTCTTTTCTTTTCTTTTTTTTTCTGGAAAATCAGATTTTCTTCCTTTGCTCTTTTTTCACTCATGTCAACTTTTCGCTTTGGAAATCCATCATAATGACAGAAAGACAACCTGCAGCAGATGACGTTGCTGCACTGGCATTTGCAGCCAAAACAGAGCAAAATTCTCGTGAGGACAAATGCAACATCTCCCTAACAACTGAGAAATGACATCTGCTGATGAGGACAGTGAGACTGACTGTTCACTCGCATGCCCGAACAATAAAATACAATTTTGTCAGTTTTGATGATGTTTAAAGGGTTCAGCTGCAGACAGATGCTGCAGAAAAGTGGTTCAGTTAGCAGGAAGAAGATTTGAGTATATATATTTTTAAGCAGCAACCTCTCCTTAAAGAAAAGCATCTACTGTTGGTGACTTATGAGCAGCATCAGTGTTAAAATGGTGATTTTAGTCCTTCTGTTGTTGCTGCTGGTTGGGAATAACTGAACAGAGCAGTATTGTCAGATCAGGTGCCAGAGTGGCAAGACGAAAGTCAGTTTGAACATGTGATGGCTGTGAGAGCAGCAAAAAAAACAAAAACAAACACTTTTTTATACTATCACAACATCATAGAGACTGTGTGTACATGTTGCTCCTTTCTCAGTCTCTTTTATAGTTTCCATGTCTACCCACCCACCTTGAAGGTCCACAAACTTTTTGTGTTAAGCCTCCGGTGGGCAGAGAACTGCAGCTGAGTGAGGAATGCAAAGGCAGCCAAACGCGAGGCCTCTCCAGCACGCTCTAAATGAAATATTATTAGTATTTTAACAAAATAACACAACAGACAACACTGTAAATTATGCATGTGCGTGGAAAGCGTTGAATAATTCAGTCGGAGTTAATAAGACGTCTCAACACGAAGACCTCACCTAAATCTATAGAACTCACAGATCAAAACAAGGCCTTGTTATGTAGTTGCTCTGGCAGGACTCGGCATTAAAAATTTACTTGTGATCTCGAAAACAGGTCCACATCCCGCCTTCAACCTTGAGTTTTTTCGTACACACAAGCGGGTGACGGCACAGTGTGCACCCTCCGTGACCTCTATTGTCAGCACACTGCCTGTAATTGCGCCTCCTAAACTGGAGCTTAAGTTTAAATATTTCATACCGCAGCGCCTGAGTGTGTGTGTACAGGAGAGGTAAAGGTTGCAGGAATACAGATTGGAGTCTGCAGAGAACCTGAGTGTAATCTGTTTTAATCCATATGACAAGCCCAACAGGAAAGCCAATTAATATGGAAATTAAATAGAAAAAGTAAACTAATACATTTTAGACTTATTTTAGCACGCCTGGAGAAACTATGCAGGAAGAGCTGCTTGTCAGAGTGTTGGAGGGATGCTCGACTTTAATCATTCTCTATCGATATAGAAAGAACTTCTATGGAGGTCTACAAAGAATGTGGAGGGAAATATTAGCAAAATAAGCGGAAAAGGCTATTTTTGCAATCTATTATGTTTGAGTTCCTCGTAAAACTGTCCTTTATGAACTTTTTAAACTTCTGTTTTGCTGTACTTTCACTTGATTGTCCATCCATCCATCCATTATCTATACACCGCTTATGCCTACATTTAATTTTTACTTCCTTTTTATTCTTTTTTAGACGTTGTTGTTGCTGCTGAGAGGACACAAGCCCAATATTACGCTGGAGAACCGGCAAAATTTGGTAAATTAAACGACAAAAGGTTCAACTTTTCTTGAAGATCACTTTTTGAATTTTCTGGTATATAAATTAAAAGCAGCTTAAGATACAAAGGAACTTGGAGAAACTTTGAGGAGATGACAAGCAGCGAAGGGTCCATGTTAACATAAACTTTGGCAGCTCCAGTAACGACTCAAACAAAGCAAATTAAAAACTGAACTTTCTCCAAAGAGAACAAAGCCTTTTTGAAAAGTTTTTGTGAATGAATGCAAACTCTTTGTGAAAAAGAACACTATACTCGCAAGTGACT